TTGTTAACATCTCGCTGTAAGTTAACGACAGTTTCGACTTCCTGATATAAGTTATTACCTTTCTTGATAGGGATTAATAGTAATTGATTTTCTTATCTCACAACACACTTAATAGGACTTCAATTTAGTTTTAATTCTCACTTTATGCTTTAGTTAGCGATCCAAAACAGATTAACACTATTTCATTTGTAAACAATTGCAATTTTAATTTTCTTAACAGCTTTTTCTTAAGTGATATAGCTTTATTTTCAATAACTTTAATAAATTAATTACATTAGTTACGTCAACTGCTAACATTATCATATTCTATTAATATTTATAACACTTTATATTCATAATAACTAGTTTATAGCTACGTAAAACGAGAAACACGATAATATTAAATTTATAATTAGTTTATGCAAATAATTTAAGAAAAGTTGCAAATATAGTGCAGTGCCGCCATCTGATGATAACAAAGCAGAAAAGGTAATCACGAATGGAAACTTTCTGTATAATTATTTATTGAAACTTATATTTTGATAGTATTCCCAATGGAAATTATTTATAATGGTAGGAGTTAAGAGTTCAGTAATCAAAATATAAATTTCTGTTAACAAGCTTTAGCAAAGTAATACTATATTACAGTTTCGATACATAAATCAAGTCTGGCACAAATACTTTTCTGTGCAGTTTATTTACGCGATAATTTTTCTTCTTGGTACATAATTTTCTTGTTTTTATTTTCATTGAACCGAAAATGATAAATTATCAGTTTTGCTAATTAATTATTTTCATTAAATACTTTTACATATACTTGAGGAGTATCAAGTGAAGTGTAAACAAGATTATTTAAGTAGATGTAACTTAATGAACAACGCTTTTTTCCTATCACATTAAAGCTTTCTTACGGCTCAATAATATCGTTAAATATTTAATGATTATATAAAAAAAAGGATATAAATTTTTGATGTACTAAAATAAATTCAAAGTACTCGTGTAGTAACCATAAAAATATACTATTCCTATAAGGTTTTATTTATTTTTTTTCACGATATGGTAAGATCGATCTTCAAAATAGCAGTTGGATGTCTTCCCATAAATATAAAAATCTAAAATTGAATAACAAAGACAGGTATTACATATAAAAGTTATATGAAACAGCAAAAATGCATTTTCTATATCTCTGAAAGTAAAATTCTTCAATCCGATTATAGAGCCATTTTTCAATTTTAAATTTTTAAGTCGACGTTGCTGTGATTAAGTAGTACAGATGGGTTTAAATATTAAGATTACGCGTCAAAAATACTACGCTGAAGTATTATTGTTAATAATACTTGTTATAAAGATGTAATTGTTAAACGTTAAAAACTTTGAATTACTTAAAATTTGTAATTTAATTTTATAATTGACAGTATCAACGTTAATACTGTAATTATAAAAGAAATAATTATTCCTGCAAAAATTATAATAAATTAAGGATTAAGGAAAAGTAACATTGACTTACATCTATATCAAATTTCTTTCTATTGAGCTGACTACAAAGCTCATCATCAGAAAATGTTTATGATCCTGGAAATAATCAATATGATTGATCATAACATAAAACTACAAACAGCAAACCAATTTCTACTAAAAAAATTTCCAATTGCTAAGGAGCATTGATCTATTTTCGACGTAGAAAAGTATCTTTTATTTTTGATTTCCCGTAGTGTTTTACAGGGAAAATGTTATTTTTCTTCCAAAATTCTGATTATAATTGAGATATTAATATTTAACTTACGAAATTAAAAGAAAATATTTTAATTTCTTAAAATCTTTGCTATAGGTTTAAAGTTGTAAAAACGAGAAGGGATAAAGTAAAAGGGTTATACTATAGACATAAACAGGGCCGATCGACTCTGGATGACCGAGGCGGTTAAGGCGTCAACCTACTGTTCTGGTTTAGTTTGATGGGATACGGCAACGTAACACATGCCAAGGAGTGTGTCTCCCGAGAAGACTTTCTATGGGAAACTGGCCCCTATTTAGATGTTAAACAGGTGAAGAAAACCCGGGAAACTCAGAGAGTCCAAGAGAGTATTGGTCCCATTCCTCACCACCAGACCAGCTTCCATTGTGAGCTTGGCCAAACTCACGATGAGTACAGGAAAATATTTTAGTACCCACAGAGCGAAATGAGTAAAAAGAAAATAAATTTTAGGTCAAATCTATCATATCTGACAACCGAGATACTTTTTAAAAAATTATTTCCAACAACAGAAATTTTAAAAATCACAATGAATCATATAAGTTATGTTAAAGTTTTAAATTAATTTTTACTGCGCTAAAATTATCTAAAACATCGTCAATATTAATATTCAAAATTTCTTATTTTGTAGATATTGAAGTCAAGCACTTTCGCAATAATAAAATTACATAAAAGTTAAAATCATCATCATATTTAACTAAAACATTAGAGATAAACCTTTAGCCTACGGATTTCCTAATTAAGTTTATTTACCAAAAAGTACAAATATTTAATATGAAGATTCAGATAAATTGATTGCAACGATCACAGTGAGAGCTTTGAGGATTCCTCTCTATTTTATTTCCGATTTTATTATTACAAATTCCGGTAAATGTCATACTACAGTGTATAATAACCAGTACCTATTAGATTATTATATTTATACATAATTAAAACAATGTGAAGCAAATGGACGATGTAGAAATATTATATACTACTGTGTTAATGTGTCAATGTACCGCTCTGAAGGATCCGGGAATGAATCCTGAGTGGTTCAAAAACCACAGGAAGTTTTGGGGTAGTCTATCCTGAATATGTTGGGTTCCGTCCTTCATCACCCGACCACCCCATATTAGGCTTGGCCGAACTCTTAATGGCCGTCTTAGTATCCGCAGGGCTAAAAGAGTAAAAAATGAACCGATTTTACTCTTCAGTACGGTTATCATTTCTCTGGATTCTGAAGTTAGGCTCTGGGCTCCGGGTTTAATCACTATTTTTCCTGGTTTAGAACTGTATTACATAATTAAATGTTATTGAAATTTTCAATTAATTTTTACTTTCCCAACTGTTATACATAACAGAAGGGAAGTATGGCGATCGGTCAAAAATGACCTTCCCCAAGATTTTTGCATTTTTGGACTCAGGTAACCTTGAAACTTCGAGAAATGGGGAAAAAATTTCGGGGATTTTTTTCTGCATGTTTGAATGCTTGTATTTGTGAGGGGCACTATTTTGTTTATCCAGTCTGTAGTTTAATAACTCCTTTGCCTTTTGTCGAAAACTTCTGAAATTTTGCAGTTAAGTTTGTGTATTAGGGGGATTAATGTTATTAAATTTTAGTGATTACGGTCAAGGAAGTGAAAAGTTAATGATGTGCCATATCTCGAGTGCAGTCGGACATAATAAAGATTTTACTTATTTTTAACATTTATACACACATACAGTAAATATATACTGTATATATGTATGTAAATCTATATGTATATATATATATATATATTTGTTTTATAAAACTCATTTTTATCCTTAANNNNTAAATATAAAACTCATCTCTACTCTCAAAATTAAGCTTTATGCCATTTTATAATAATTAGTAACATAAAAAATATTTTAAATAAAATATTATAACAGAAGGCACCACACAAAATTTTAAATTTTTTTCCGGGAAAGTTTTGCAACTCGTTGATAGCTTTTATAAAATACTCGGTAAAAGACATATTCAATTATCTGATTATAGCTGATAATTAAATGTAAATATTGCAGAATATTTACGTTTAATGTAAAACAGAGAATTCTATCTTAATAAATCGACAATACTGTAGTTTGGAAATTTTAATTTTATAAATGACTAACGAAAGGCATATGAAAAATGAAATTAGTAAATAAATTCGAATGAAAATTTAACTACGATAGAGTAGATTTATTTAGAATCATTACGATCTTAATGATCGTAATGATTCTAAATAAATCTACTCTATGTTTATTTTTAAAATAATGGAAAAGTTATACATATAATCAATTCTAAGTTACATATTAAAATTGTACGTGTAATTAAAAAATAATAAGAAAGTTTAACTTCTAATTTTGAAAATTAGCGGATAAATTTCGGTCCATGAAAGAGAAAATTACATTGAACGATCAGGATCTTATTTAGGAGACTCGGGAGCTTTCATAACGGGCTCTATAGGATCAAATGTCATCGCAGAGCGAATAGTAAGTTCAGGTGCAAAATCCAAGATTTCAGAAGTAGGATTAGAAGGTGAGGGACGAGGAATACCCATTAGCATCCTTCCTCCTCCTCTTCCCAAAGGATCTAAGTCATTTCCGCCAACTTAAGGACTCAAAAAACCTGCTTTATTATTGACTTTCGGTTGATCGCTTCGATTAATTTCGAGGAAATATATGTCTGTCAACATCATATCCATTTCTTCTTCGAGGCTATTTAAATTCTTAAAGGCAGAATGGAAATTTTTGATATCTTCATTTATGAAATTGTTGACATCGAAAGATACTTGAAATGATTGTTTATTATCAAGATTCTCTATTTTTACTTGAATCGAACTACGGTAACTGGTTACACTCAAAAGATATCGACGATTATTTCTCGCTAAATATCGTATGTTATAACAATCTTTATTAGAATTCCAATTTTCAGGAAGAAATTCGGAGTTTTCTTCCGAAAACCAAGTTTGGCCCGAACGCACGCATTTCATTCCATTCTGAATCATAAAAGAATGGAGACAAACTAAAAATGCATCCGATTTCTGTTTAATTTCATTTTTCACAGCTGCGTAACATATCTCTAGTATTTCATTATCTATAAAATTACATAAAAATTCAAGAAACAATTTAATTATCTTATTGCTTTTTTTCTACAACAATTAGACAATTAACCTTCTGAATAATAATTAAAATATTATTTTCAGTTATTGTTGACTATGTAGTGTGTTACTTTTTTATTCATACTTTTGCTATTAATAATGGAATTTATAAAATAAAACAAATTAAATAAATGAATATGTATCTATTAATAGTTTTCCGAATTTTATTAACATATCTAACCTATAAATAGGAATTTCCTATAGAAAGTCCTTCCGGGAGGCATCATTTCTTGGCAGATCACTGGTGTTGTGTCTCCTTACCCTCATTAATCTACTTCTAATGTTAGAGTATATGGTACAAGTACGAAAGGTCTATATAAATTTTCTGTAACCTAGCTTTTCTAGTCTACTCTTCTTACATTGATATTATATTTCTCATATATATGAAACCTGAATTAATATTTTTAAATAATAATTCAATAACAATTATATAAACTTTTATAATCACTATTTTAAATAGTATAAAGATTACTATTTTTCTTTTACAGTTTTTAAATTCCTATTTATGCTAAGATCTCTTCTAATTGCATTTTAGTATCTTAGAACATCTAATGCTGATTAATATCGTACGAATACTTATTTATGCATACATAGAAATTACATGGCAGATAAAAATTTTGTTTACATGAACGGTTCCGATTACATTTACATGAATTTTCCATTAGGTGATTTCCTGGACTTCAACTAAAGATGAGCCCATCAGTGATCGAGTGAATAACATTATTGAACACTAGTTACGAGTTTGCATCTTACCAATGGGATTTTCCGAGATTTCTTCACATGTCTAATACCTAAATAGGAGCCAGTTTCTTATAGAAAGTGCTCTCGAAAGGCACCTTCTCCTTAGCAGAAGCTTTTTATTCTGTTAATTTGGAGATTCTGTACATTTTGTTGAAGAAGCTGCGTCTGTCTCTATGGATCATCGGATGGACATAGTAGATCGCCAGATAGATCGATCCTCGCCATTCAATTTTCGGACGACATCAGTGGCACACTCAGAGAGAGCCAAGGGACCTTGGCATCCTTCAAAGAAAAAGGAAAAAACACTAGAAAATTTTCCAAAATTATTTTCCTAATTAAAATTCATTTTTCAAAAATATACATTGTGTCGTGTCTTCCATTTCTACACTACTTATAAATTGGCGATTACATAAGGTAAGAATTTTATTGTATTCGCATGAAAAATTTTTTATCCGATCAACTCAGCTCCCCAAGATCAAATTCTGAGTGCGCCAATGGTCGACTCTATCCTACACAATAGGCTGGATGACAAACTTCAATGCTGAATGACAGTAACTTAGATGAGGGTAATCCATAAATGGCTTTGGATCTTTATGACACTTCGCCAGTCACTTTAAACTCTTATATTGTTAAAATATTAAAACACTTATTGATAAATATTCAAATATCTTGACGTCTGTGACTGACTGCTCTTCGCCTTATTGAATTATCTAATATACGGGGTGTCCACGTAAACATCTATTCAGGAGCAAGAGATCTAATCAGCATTGTTTAGGTTAGGTTAAGTTTGGAGAATATAGATTCCAACGGATACAAATACACCGAATAGTGCAAGTAGACTAGCCTCTCGCTGTACATTTACAGGATTATTGCCAGAGGATTGGTAGTATTCGAGTGTTCCTCCTCATAGAAATCATCAAACATTTATTGATGGATAGTCACGCGGTTAAGGTGGCAACCTACCACTCTGGGGCCCTAGGATCAATACGGACGGGTCGAAAAACTTCAGGAATTTTTGTGAGGTTAGTCCTGATATGTCGGACTCCATTCTTTACTATTCGGATGTCCCATCATTGCTTGCCGAACCCGTAATGGTCTTGCTAAAAAGATCATCTTAATGCCTTTTTAAAAGGAGCTTTTCAGAAAGGTGCTCTTAATACTTCAGCGCGGAAAGTTAAAAAACATCGGATATTACATTGACATGACGTGCATTCATTCTGTTGCTATCTGCAACCAACACAAGATACAGAGGATGCCGCCAGCGATTTGAGTGAATATATGAAAATGATGTTCAATATCAACAAAAAAAGTCTCATTCAATTCTCCATGTATGAATTCCTATGTAGTAAAATTAACATATCTTCAGTACTTTCAGAACGAAGGACTTTTGAATCAATTTGAGGAAGAATCAAAAGTCATTCAGTCTTTTCATTCCAACATATCTAGCATTGCTAACATAGCTACATATCGTCTCCTTCTTCTTTATTGAAAGCCTTATATATCTCTAAAGCTTGAATAGAGAAGAAGACATATAGCTTATATATATNTCTTTTCTAATGCAGAACTCGAGTTATCTTGTTCTTAAACTGTTCAAATTTTATCCTTAGGCTTCTCTTGCCTCTAAAATTTATTCAACTTTATTATGTTATTATTCAAGGCTTAGTTATAGGGAAAGTTTGTAGGGTTACTTGGCTCAGATCCCGAACAAACAGAGAGCCTCTAAATTTAATCTTCCACATAAAAACATGATATAAAATTATATAAATTAATTTTGATAAATTATTTTGTATTATTTTACTTTTCATTGTTTTGAAACCGAATATCACTAAACAAATATGTTATGACTTTAATAAGCATTAATTTTCTCATATATTTACATGCTTATCAGGATTTTATAATATTTAATTTATAAAAATTAAATTAAGAACGTAAGTTATATAATTTTATTGAAATTAATTTCAATTTCAATTCTATGTTTATTTAATAAAAACAAAAAAGTTAAAAGAATCAAGAATTAGAGTCATGAAAAGAGACGAATTTGTCATAAAACAATAAAATAACCCTACCGAATTACGATAAAGAGAAAATTGAATAGCTTTATTGAAAATCACGGAATACAATAAAGTAATTCGGGGAATTGAAATATCCAATAAATGAAATTTAATCTATGATATACTCAAAAAGATTAAGTTTCTTCTATTGTGAATAAAAAGTAACTCGAAGAAATGAATATTACAGAAATGGCAATATTAACCCAAAAATAGCATTCGGGTAATAAATCATAACCATGTGTTCAATAAGTTAAAAACAAAATAAATGCATATTATAAATGTGTATCTACGTAAATGACAAAGAAAAAATCTAGTAATAACAATAATGTAATATAGCCTAAGTATTACAAAATATCAAAACAGAATCACTAACAGAACGTTAGACTTACAAACAAAATTACTTGTAGAAATCGCATGAATTTCACTAACAAATTAAATTTATTTACACTTTGTAAATGTCAGAATAGTTTTGCAACCTTAAAGAGTCGTCTACAGTTTCGGTGAGTAATTTTTTAAAATTTAAATTGATATCATAAATGCACGTTTAGCAATTATTTGCGTAAGTAAATTGTTAAAATCGAATATTTATTAACATTTCTATTAATTTATTGTTAATGAAGTTAATTTTATTACAAATAATAGTCTATTATCTTTTATTTTCTGTTTATTTGAATTCGTAAAATGATTTACCAATAAATAGATTCATCCGGCTTTTCGAAATGTTATATCTATGGTTATATCTGCGCAATACATTATACATATATAGATTATAATTTCGACTTATAATCTAAGCGTATCGTTAATGTTATCTAATCTAAAAATGACGTCTTGGCGTCAGTCTTGATATGAAAGGAGACGTAAAGTTGGCCAACTACAAACGATATAAAACTTCAAGCTTTAAGTATGGAAATTTAGGCCTATATACTAAAAACTTAAATTAAGAGGAGTTATATTCGGAAAATATATTCAAAAAATAAAACGCTAAAATAACCGAATTTTCGAAGAAAACATCAATATTGGATTGTTTCTTTTTTCCCAATTAGTGGGGATGGTACGTCATTACAATGATTTCACTTTTTGCTATCTCATATTTTCCTATTGTATCTCGTAAATGAATTAAGATAAGTGAAGTTTTTGAATGAATTTTTTTCTATTTTCTAAGTTTTTATGAACATAAAATTAATGTTAGCAAAATCAGATTAAACTTTAGGCAAATGTAGCATTTCGTATGAACAGGCGAAGTTTATGTATGTTCATTTCCGTCTGTTTTTTAATTCACTTTAAAGAATCGTGTTTACCTGTTTATAAGCAACACATTCTTTTAATTCCTCTAAAAAAGTAATATTGAATAATTTCGCTATTTTGCTACATTAAAGACATAAGTTATTTAATTTAAAAATTACTTTCTTTTTATTTTTATAAAAATTTCGTCAAATAAGCTTGAAATAAAATTTACTATCATCACGTTTGTGTTTATACTGTATATTGCCACTACAAACTCGTGCATTTTAAAATTCCGTATGCTCGAACAATGTTCCTATCAGCATTCGATTTCTTCGAGACGTGTTCGAACGTTTCTTTTAGTATATGTAGGCTACTTATTCGTAAAATAAACTGTGTACATAAATGCCTCCGTCTTTGTTCTTTTTATTCACGACATTTTAAAGGAGACGCGCCGATTTTCCTACCAGTGCAACTATGAGCCGCTCGTCCTGCGATATACTTGCCACAATACACAGAAAATGTTCGATCTTTGAGGACCAACACGACAAAGACTCTCATCGACGGGTGGACGAGTACGAGCGCGTGGCTAAGTACAACAAATGGAAGGACGAGAGGAAGACCGATATCATTTATTTTTTTCTATTTATTACTTCTTGCCGATGGCTTAATAACAAGAGGTCCAAATCGATAACTGGGCAACCTCTCGGAATTCCTTTCGCCTGGCTTTCGAAATCGAGCAAGAAAACGTACGCGACGAGAAACAACGTTTAGAAGGTCGAGCCCAACGATCTAATGAGAGTAGCGACTCGAGACACGTTCATTACATCGTTGGGCTCGACAGGAGGGGCGGAGGGGAAGTATTTAATTTTCTTATCACCACCGATGTTACCAAAACGGCCGCTTTTAATACTAATTCGGGAAGAGTTGCAAGAATGTTTAAATAACACGCGCAATGGACCCGAGACGATTGCTTTAGTAATAACACGATCGGAAACGTCTCCTTGAACGGAAGTAGACTTATCGAGGGAACCTTCGATGATAACTAACTGCGCCAACAACGCTGAAGTGATAAGCTCTCGTGGATATCGGGGCGATCGTTTCAGTGATGTCGGACGTTCTTCGAACTAAGTTACGTAAAGTATTGACTCAGAGTTCGCTACCTGTTACTGGCTTGGGTGGAACGATGCTATATGTTTTTGGACAGTGTACCTGTTAGACGTCCGTGTTTATTAACAACTCTTCAACGATAGTGCTCGCGAGAAGAGTGCGAGATCTCGTCCCGTTATTTAAAATTAATATCCTCGTTTTTTTAGTTTTAGTTTCGTTTTTCTTCTTGTTCTTTTTTTCACTGTGCATTCAACTGCTTTGTGATTTATGTCTATAACAATAACTTCAATAAAGTAATTTTTGAAGACATTGCTGGTATGTATAATTTGTCATTCTATCCTGCGCTGTGAACGGACGAATTATCGTTAGCATATCGAAACTGAAGTTAGTGATAAAAGACCTTAATTTACCCTAACAGTACCACGAGGATACCAGTCGAATTCTTAATGATTCCCGAGAAGCTTTTTGTCCCAGAACGTAACAGTTACGATTTGAGGTTGGGTAGAACTTTTTAGAAAGAATTGTCGCTCTCATTGATTATGGGAATCGAATAGTTCTGCCGGAGGCCGAGGAATCGCAGTTGCTACTGCGTTAGTTGCTGGGTCCTGTTTAGGTGAATGGAAACCACAACTGGACACATAAATTGTCGCCTGCGTCAACGAGAACTCTCAGGTAGAAAAATCAGAGGAAAACAAGGACGAAAAACGACAAATTCTACAGTACAATAGACGAACTATTGGTCCTGTTGTTGAAGTACTGTACAAAGAGCTATTGACTCCCGATTTGCTCTCGGGCAGTTGTACCATAAAAGTGAAGCATCAAATTCGGACGTGTGATCATCCACCCAGCAAACAGAAGCCGTATCTAGTGTTCCTCGAGGAAC